ATATGCTTTGAAACTGGCGAAAAACTATATGGTACTCAGAGTCAAGACAGGTTTCCATTGGTACCGGTAATCATCATGATTATTTACAGACTGCTGTCATTTAGCTGGAGTATTGCTGAGTGCGGCGTTAAGCAACAAACAAACAAACAAACAAACAAACAAACAAACTTCAAGTGGAATGTAGCTGGCTGACACAGTGGAGCCCAACTCACCCCATGTGAATCAATGCATCGGTGCATCTTCAGTTTTCTTGTGATAATACGATTCGTTTTTTTCTGTATCGAAACAAGATGATATACTTGTCTGATGTAGAGTCTCCTTCTAGTATCCTGTATTGTTTACAGGTGTTTGTTGATGAAGCAACCCGTGAAGATTCCGGGGTAGAATGGGTCTTCAGCAAACCATGCTTGCTGTAAAAGGTGACTAACGGGATTGGGTGGTCAGGCTCGCTGACTTGGTTGATGCATGTCATCGTATCCCAATTGCATGGATCGATGTTAATGATGTCAATCACTGGATTGTCTGGTCAAGACTTGATTATTTACAGACCGCCATCATACAGCTGGAATATTGCTGAGTGTGGCGTTAAACAACAATTAAACAAACAAACAAACAAACAAAAACTGTTGATGAATCACCAGCCACACCTTCAGGTGTATTGTTGGTGTTCCCCTCTGCTCTATAGTGCCGGCTGCTCTATTGTGCCGGCTGCTCTATAGTGCCGGCTGCTCTATAGTGCCGGCTGCTCTATTGTGCCGGCTGCTCTTTAGTGCCGGCTGCTCTATAGTGCCGGCTGCTCTATTATGCCGGCTGCTCTATAGTGCCGGCTGCTCTATTATGCCGGCTGCTCTATAGTGCCTGCTGCTCTATAGTGTCGGCTGCTCTATAGTGCCAGCTGCTCTATAGTGCCTGCTGCTTTATAGTGCCAGCTGCTCTATTATGCCGGCTGCTCTATAGTGCCGGCTGCTCTATAGTGCTGGCTGCTCTATAGTGCCGGCTGCTCTATAGTGCCGGCTGCTCTATAGTGTCGGCTGCTCTATAGTGCCAGCTGCTCTTTTGTGCCGGCTGCTCTATAGTGCCGGCTGCTCTATAGTGTCGGCTGTTCTATAGTGCCAGCTGCTCTATAGTGCCGGCTGCTCTATAGTGCCGGCTGCTCTATGGTGCCGGCTGCTCTATTGTGCTGGCTGCTCTATTGTGCCGGCTGCCCTATTGTGCCTGCTGCTCTATAGTGCAGGCTGCTCTATAGTGCCGGCTGCTCTATAGTGCCGGCTGCTCTATTGTGCCAGCTGCTTTATAGTGCCGGCTGCCCTACTGTGCCGGCTGCTCTATTGTGCCGGCTGTCTATAGTGCCAGTTGCTCTATAGTGCCAGTTGCTCTATAGTGCAGGCTGCTCTATTGTGCCGGCTGCTCTATAGTGCTGGCTGCTCTATAGTGCGGGCTGACATTACAAGGGCTAACTGAAGCGGCTGTGGCACAAATAGATGTTCATGCCACCTCTTGCTGATTGGGAAGACCTTGATATTTGGGGGAGAATCCAGGAACCTTGGAGCTGTTGATGGCGAAGTGACCCATACAATCATCTGATGTAATGCCAGGAAAGGTGTGCACCTGGACTGGGAATGTGGCGGCTTGGTTGTGATGAGAGGAGGGGGGTGGGAGATTAAAAGAAGAACAGGGTTGACTTGTACATGTATATTTGTCTAGATACCTCTCCCTAAATGTGTGTTAGGGCTGCTGTCACTGGGGATACAGGGCTTCTGGGAGCACACCCTGCCACTTGTTTCAAACACCTTACATGTTGGTCCATAAAATCAGCGTTAGAAATTGGCACTAGTCCTGTAGTCCTTACTACACTGCCCAATAGTAAAGGTATCCTAAGGACTAGTAGAGCTTGGCCCATTTTAAGGCCTATGCTATATATGTTATCATTATAAGGACTAGTGGACAAAAGCTGTTAGTTTCACTTTGCGACTATGATCGTGTGCACCTATTTTCTTTCAAAATTCTATAGCTTTGTCCATCCCGATCCACCCCGATCCACCCCCACAGTTCCCCCTGGTGTATACATGACCTGGATACTGCACAGATGCCCTCCCCTTCCACCATCCACTACCCCCTGCTGTCTTCCATCTGCAGCCACCCTGCCTTCCATCTCCTCTGCATCAAACCCCCTCCCCAGCCCCCCACCACCCCCTGCTGTGTAAAGGCATCTTCCCCTCCTTCCCCCAACTGGTGTTTAATGGAGCTGGACACAACAGCTATCTTGCCCCCGTACCTCTTGCATCTCCTCCCCAGCATCTCTCACCACCCTCCCACCCCCCGAGCCCCCCACCTCCCCCTGCTGTGTAAAGGCATCTCCCCTTCCTAACCCTAATGGAGCTGGACACAACAGCTTTCTTGCCCCCTTACCTCCTCCATCTCCTCCCCAGCATCTCACACACCCCCAGCCCCTGCTGTGTAAAGGCATCCTCCCCTCCTACCCCCAACTGGTGTTTAATGGAGCTGGACACAACAGCTATCTTGCCCCCTTACCTCTTGCATCTCCTCCCCCAGCATCTCTCACCCCCCACCCCTCCCCTCCCCAGCTCCCCACTACCCCTGCTGTGTAAAGGCATCTCCCCTTCCTAACCCTAATGGAGCTGGACACAACAGCTTTCTTGCCCCCTTACCTCCTCCATCTCCTCCCCAGCATCTCACACACCCCCAGCCCCTGCTGTGTAAAGGCATCCTCCCCTCCTACCCCCAACTGGTGTTTAATGGAGCTGGACACAACAGCTATCTTGCCCCCTTACCTCTTGCATCTCCTCCCCCAGCATCTCTCACCCCCCACCCCTCCCCTCCCCAGCTCCCCACTACCCCCTGCTGTGTAAAGGCATCCTCCCCTCCTACCCCCAACTGGTGTTTAATGGAGCTGGACACAACAGCTATCTTGCCCCCTTACCTCTTGCATCTCCTCCCCCAGCATCTCTCACCCCCCACCCCTCCCCTCCCCAGCTCCCCACTACCCCCTGCTGTGTAAAGGCATCCTCCCCTCCTACCCCCAACTGGTGTTTAATGGAGCTGGACACAACAGCTATCTTGCCCCCGTACCTCTTGCATCTCCTCCCCAGCATCTCTCACCACCCTCACACCCCCACACTTCCCTCTGGTGTGTAACAGAGCTGGACACAGCCTCCCCAGTAAGAGTCTATGCAAACAAAACCCTCTCCCATACAACAGACAGGCTTACAACATCACCAACTTGCGTCAGCACCTGGGCGGTACTTGTCTGTTGCCATAGCAACAAGAAACAAGCATCTTGGGCCAATGTGGAAAATTCTAAAGACATATTAAGGATGAGATTTGTGATCAATTCCTGACTCATGCTGAGAGTATGACGAAGGTAGGGGGTAGTGCTGGGATCAATGGTAGCCTGACAACATTCCTCTGTTGGTGTTCCATGTAGGTGGCACACTTCCAGGAATGGTACACACCAGGAGTCCCATCAAAATGTTGCAAATCATCTGATGGAATTTTACATGAAACTGATAATTCCATTGTTGGTCTGTGTTTGTGCATGGAGAAGTTGGTCAGAGTGTGATCTGTATTCCCGCTTGTTATCAATGATCCTGGGTTATCTATATTCCCAAGTGTGATGTATATCCACTGGTGTTATCAATATTCCCTAGTGTTACTATATTCCCTGGTGTTATCTATAATCACTGATGTTATCTATATGCCCTAGTGTTATCTATATTCCCTGGTGTTATCTATATTTCCTGGTGTTATCTATTCACTGGGTGCTCATGGTGTTATCTATATTCCCTAGTGTTATCTATATTCCCTAGTGTTATCTATATTCCCTAGTGTTATCTATATTCCCAGGTGTTATCTATATTCCCTGCTGTTATCTATATTCCCTGGTGTTATCTATATTCCCAGGTGTTATCTATATTCCCTGGTGTTATCTATATTCCCTAGTGTTATCTATATTCCCAGGTGTTATCTATATTCCCTGGTGTTATCTATATTCCCAGGTGTTATCTATATTCCCTGGTGTTATTTATATTCCATGGTGTCATCTATATTCCCAGGTGTTATCTATAATCCCATGTGTTATCTATATTCCCTGGTGTCATCTATATTCCCATGTGGTATCTATATTCCTATGGTGTCATCTATATTCCCTGGTGTCATCTATATTCCCATGTGGTATCTATATTCCCAGTTGGTATCTATATTCCCATGGTGTTATCTATATTCCCAGGTGTTATCCATATTCCCATGGTGTTATCTATATTCCGATGGTGTTATCTATATTCCATGTTGTCATCTATATTTCCACGTGTTATCTATTTTCCCTAGTGTTATCTATATTCCCTAGTGTTTTCTATATTCCCTAGTGTTATCTATATTCCCATGGTGTTATCTATATTCCCATGGTGTTATCTATATTCCATGTTGTCATCTATATTTCCACGTGTTATCTATATTCCCAGGTGTTATCCATATTCCATGGTGTTATCTATATTCCATATTGTTACCTAAATGCCATGTTAAATCTGTATCCCATGGTGTTATCTATAATCCCATGGTGTTATCTATATTCCCAGGTGTTATCTATATTCCCATGGTGTTATCTATATTCCATGGTGTTATCTATATTCCCAGGTGTTATCTATATTCCCATGGTGTTATCTATATTCCCATGGTGTTATCTATATTCCATGGTGTTATCTATATTCCCAGGTGTTATCTATATTCCCATGGTGTTATCTATATTCCCATGGTGTTATCTATATTCCATATTGTTACCTAAATGCCATGTTAAATCTGTATCCCATGGTGTTATCTATGATCCCATGGTGTTATCTATATTCGATGGTGTCATATATATTCCCTGGTGTTTGTTGATGTTGCCATATCATTATATCAGTGGTGTTATCTATAATGCTTTATATGACTTGTATTCAATGGTGTTGTCGATTACTTGGACAATGAGGTTTCTGTTGTTTTCCCAG